TGAATGCATCTTCCTTGTAGCCCCTGGCTTCCTGTCAGCTGTGTGTGTGTGTGTGTGTGTGTGTGTGTGTGTGTGTGTGTCTGTCCGTCTGTCTGTCTGTCTGTCTGTCTGTCTGTCTGTGTCTGTGTGTCTATGTGTAAGTGTGTGGGTGCCCACAGAGACCAGAAGAGGGTGTTGGATTCCCTGGAGTTAGAGTTATAGACAGTTGTGAGCTGTCTCATGTGGGTGCTGGGAACCAAACTCAGGTCCTCTGCAAGAGCAGAAGGTCATTAACTCCTGAGTCATTTCTCCAGTCCCATTTCTAAGTCGTTCTTAGTTGGTCAGCCTAGGATACATGAGACCCTATGTCCAAAAAAAAAAAAAAGGTCCTTTTTGGCCATAGGACTAGGGTTACTTGAAGATAAGGAGGACAGGCTGAGAGGTTACAGAGGATGGAGACTGACAAAATAGTCGGCGGGGGGCCGGGGGGAACTGTCATGAAATATGGTTGTCTATGTTAAGAGTTTGGGCTCAGTGTCTGGTGGCGCAGATGGGTGCACAGTGGGTAGATGAGCCTTTGAGTCCTGGGCTTACAGTCTTTGGGCTCTGGTCCAGCCCTCCCCTGGTGAGGGGACTGTGGGAGACTCCAGGGGTAAAGTCTTCCCCCTCCTTCCTCCTGTGGGCCTTGGGTGGCTGGCGGCTCATTCTGTTTTCCAGGAAAGATGTGTCTGCATTTAGGGCCTGTGTCTCCTTGTAGTGGTCAGTCCCACCCAAATTCCTGCTCCTTTCTACAGACTCAGCCTCAAGAAACAAAAAGAATAGTGAAAACCACAGCTTGGACAGCATGACCAGAAATGAAGGGGAGGGCAGGCAAGGAGTGGTTCACCCAGATGTCACACATGAAGGACCCAGGGGATGCCAGGAACTCTAAGGGGGACCAGGAGTCCTGAGGACTCTTTAGCAGTCTTGAACTACTGAACACAGAGCCAGGGCTAGAAGCTGGCAGGGCAGGCCAGCCAGGGGTCTGGAGGCTCGCAAGGGTTTCTGCAGTCAGTGAACACTCCCACTCATGACTAACTGCTCCTCTTGTGTGTCACTGTGGCCAAATGGCCCTGGTGCAAATTCTGGGGACTGAGGATCTGTCTCAGCTGGTAAAGTGTGCATAGTATGCACAAAGTCCTAGGTGTGATGCCCAGCACCACACAAAACTAGGCTTGTTTGTGCACACCTATAATCCCAAAACTCTGAGACAGGAGGATCAAGAGTTCAAGGTCTTAGCAGGGCATGGTGACACACACCTTTAAGCCCAGCACTTGAGACAGAGACAGGCAGATCTCTATGAGAACAAGCCCAGCCTGGTCTACATAGTGAGTTCCAGGCCAGCTGGGGCTACAGGGAGACCCTGTCTCAATAAACAAAACAAACAAACAACAACAAAAAGAGTTCAATGTCTTCAAAGTTGGAGGCCAAAAAGGGCTACATGAGACCCTGTCTCAAAAACAAATACAAGCCGGGCATGGTGGCGCACACCTTTAATCTCAGCACTCGGGAGGCAGAGGCAGGTGGGTCTCTGTGAGTTCAAGGCCAACGTGGTCTACAGCCTGCTCTACATAATGAGTTCAGGCCTGCTGGGGCTACAGGGAGACCCTGTCTCAAAAAAGACGAAAAGGGAAAAGAAACCAAAAAAAAAAAGTGCTAAGCCTCTAATTACAAACTTCCCAGCAGCCCGTTGACCTCCAGATAATGACATAAGTGCATCTTGAAGTAGAGATGTCTTATCCTGTGCCCACTCTGACCCTGAAATGCAGGGGTTCCTCAGGCCACACAGACATCTCCTTCCCTGCCGTAAGAAGGATGTGACCTTCTATGGCCTTAAGTGAAAAATGTCTACCCACATCTCAGGGGATGACTGTGGTGTGATAGAGTCAGGGCCAGGACATCTGCCCACTGGTGGACCATGGCAGGGGTGGGGTAGGGCACACTTGCGGTAACTGGGGTGTTCGGAGAGAGACTTCTTGAGACTTGAAGGCAGGCCATGAAGGAGACAGCTACACACAAAGTGTGGACAAGGGATTTCTGGCTGGAGAACGTCAAGTGCAAAGGCTGTGCGACAGGAATGGCAGGAGAGAGGAGAGATGAGTATGGATGGAATTAGAAGAGGATGATGGGGAGACAGGTACAAAGAGACCGAGGAAGAGTGGCATCCAGGGCCTGAAGGCCATGTAAGGCAGAGTAGGTTTCATTTTAAGTACAATAGAGATTTTTTTTCCAAATATAGCTCATTTTTTAAATTTGTTGATTTTTTTGTATTTCATACAGAACATCTCAAACAATCTTATTCTTCTATATACCCACATCCCAAATGGCACCTTCCCATAGTCTCCCCCCTCACTGGAGCCCATACACTCTATAATCCCTGTTACTATCCATTGTGTTGTCAGCACCCCACCAGCCGTTCTCCAGTGCTTGTCCATCCACTGAATCTAGTCAGCCTATCTAGAGTTCCTTGTTTGGGGAAGATCAACTTTTCCTCATCTAGCAGCAATCAGTTGCCAATATTCCTTTAGATAAGATTGGGGTCTGCTGTTCTTTTTCCAAGTTCTGTGCTGGGTTACTGTCTGGGAGTCTCTTGGGCTACCCTGGCCAACAACTCAAAGGAAGGTATCTTCTGTCTGGCATTGTTTCTTGTTATATAGTCTTTAGCTATACATATGGACTCTTAAAGAATTATATTGACCCCATTAATCTTTGGTTATACTTTCCTTTTGGGTGTTTAAGACTATACAGTTGGCCCAGATAAACCAGTTTATTTACTCTTAAGGTTGTTTGAAGATCTGTTCCTCAGGGGTCACATGGGCTTGGGAGGAGCCCCTGGCTCCTTTCATTTACCAGTTCTGTCTATGTGAAGATAAGTCAAAGATCCTGCTCGACCGAGGCTGGCTTCACTTGGAAGCATGGAGGAAATATTTCCTCTGTGTTGACCCGCCTCTTTGTAGACTGGACACTTCCATTCAAGTCCATTTGGTTGGGGTCTCCATGGCCTCCTTGATCAAGAGGACAGGTGACACACACAGTTATAGGACATTTTGAGAGATGCTCATAATCTCTCAAGGAACAAAAACTGTCCTTTATGTCCCTCTGACCAAATTAGTATAAGCCTCAAAGTTAAACATCCAAGAAGGTTAGTTCTACCAGTCTGGTACTTTTAATTACCATGTGCTATGTAGACAAAGCTTGGGCAAAGACCAAACGTTCTCAGACAAACCTTGCCTAGACACGTATTATGTTACTTGAGCTAGCTGTATGTATAATTTCTCAGTAGGTTGTTCGATTACTATGGTTCCCTCTGGTTTTTTAAAACTCAATGGGCATTATTTACTCTCACATTGTCTAACCCTTCCACCATGGTTTCCCCATTTAAAGTGCCCCCAGAGATTTTTTAAAATCTGTGTATGTGTTTGTGTGTGGCGTGTGCATGTATGTTCATGTATGTGAGTGCAGATGTGCATGTGCCACAGCGTGTGTGTGGAACTCAGAGAACAATCTTTGCTGTTCTCCTTACCCTCTGCCTTGTTTGAGACAGGGACCCTTGTGTGTTGCAGTGTAGGCCAGACTAGGGCCTTTTCCCATCTCTACCTTGCATCTTGCCTTAGGAACACTGGGATTGCATCCACTAAGTCTGTACATGGGTTCTGGGGATCTGAACTCAGGTCCTAATGCTTACGCAGCAAGAGCTTTACCCACTGACCCATCTCCCCAGCCTGGTGAGAGGTTTTATGAATCTAGGGCCTCATGCATCCAAGGCAAGCCCTTTACCACTGAGCTACAGCCCCAGTTTTTGGTTTTTGTTTTTTTTGTCTTTTTGAGACAGTGTCTCCTTGTAGCCCCAACTGGGCTGCAACTCGCTGTGTAGATCAGGCTGGCTTCAAACTCACGGAGATCCATCCACCTGTCTCTTCCTCCTAAGTGCTGGGATTAAAGGCATGTGCTACAACGCCTAGCTTTTTTGTTTCATTTTTTAAAAAAATATTTTATTAGCCAGAGATGGCACACCTTTAATCCCAGCACTTAGGAGGCAGAGGCAGCCAAAGCTCTGTGAGTTCGAGGCCAGCCTGGACTACATAGCGAGTTCCATGCCAGCTGGGGCTGCAGGGAGACCCGGCCTAAAAAAATTTATTTTTTATTATTATTATTATTATTATTATTATTATTATTATTATATTTTAAGTGTATTGTTTGCATGTAAGTGCACCCAGGTCACACAAAGCCTGTGGAGGCCAGAAGAGAGCATGGGATCCCCTGGAACTGCAGTTTTGTGTGGTTATTAGTCATGTGGGTGTTGAGAATCAAGCCCAAGTCCTCTGCAAGAGCAGCCAACGCTCTTACCGCTGAACCATCTCTCCAGCCCCTCTATCTTTAGGTTTGGGTTTTGGTTTTGCTTTTTACGGCAAGGTCTTGTTATGTAGCCCTGGCTAACCTCCAACTCACCCCTAAGGCTCATCCCAGCCTCCGGAGTGCTGGGGCTTCAGCTTTGTGCAACCAGCCCTGTCTCTTTTAAGTCAGACGCTGTGTGGACGGGGTGCGGGGCAGAATACGGAAGGAGGATGGGGAGTGTGAGGGTGGAGGGGAAGGAACGGGAAGGGACTGGCAGGCTTGACTCCCTCGCCTCCTTCCGCCCAGGCCTGCGCTGCTACGCCAAGTTCCACCGGAACCGCAGAGTCACGCGGAGGAAGGGGCGCTGCGTGGAACCCGAGACGGCCAACGGGGACCAGGGATCCTTCATCAACGTCTAGGGTCCCAGAGTGGAGGCTGCCCACCGGCCTGGGGACCAAGCCCGCGAGGTTTGCGCAAACAGGACTCGGTGTTTGTAGCTAGCACTGGGAGATCAAGTTTGGGGACCCATGACGGAGGCTGCGGGCTCAGCTCCAGGACGCTCAGCCCCTAGCCGGGGGGCTGCTGGGCTGACAAGCCGCGCGGTCCTGGGCGAGCAGCGGTGCATCTGCGGCTCCCTGAGCCCGTCTCTGCGCCACGGCTGCGCGCAGCGCGCCCTCTACTGCCCGACACCAGCCCTGCAGCAGGTTGGATTGGGCAGGAGTGGACATGGGCCGCGCCTGTGACCTGGGCGCTGTGCCAGGCACCGCGGGCATTCCTACCGAATTGCCACAGCGACCCTTTCAAGTGTCCATTTTTCCAGGAGGACATTGAGGCACACTTGGGTTCAATGACTTGTCCAGGATCCCACGGCCATGGCGCTCCGGCCTCGGCAACAGACACACACGCTCCCTGTCGTTCTTGTCACGGTGGCTGGAGTAACTGTAACTGACCTCAGTCTTCTCTGACAGAGGCGTATCATTTTTGTGAGACAGAGTGCCATTCTGTGTCCAAGCCTGGCCTTTGAAACAGACAATCCTCCTGCCTCAGCCTTCCAAGTGCTGGGATTATAGACATGTGCCATCACGTCTTGCAGGTGTATCCTCCTTAAAAACAAAACATGAGGCTGGGGATGTGGCTTGGTCAAGTGCTTGCCTAGCACGAAAGAAAGTCTGGGTTCAATCCCCACCCCATTGTGGTGTCCCAAACCTATCTATAACCCCAGCACTTGGGAGATGGAGGCCTGAGGATCAGAAATTCAAAGTCATCATCAGCGACACAGGAAGTCGGAGGCCAGCCTGAGCTACATGAGACCCTGTCTTAATACAAAACATTTGTCTAGCCTGCACAGGGCCTTGGGTTCTATCCCCAGTCAAGCTCCTCGCAACACATAGCACCTGCTTTCATGTGAAGAAGGAACCTCACCCTGCCTCTGGCAGTTACTAGTTGCAGTCAGGAAGCAATGGGGGGCCGGGAAGGTGGGGACAGCACTGTTCCCCTTGTACCCAGGGCTTCCCTCATACAACCTGGACACTGGCTCACGCACTTCCAAGTATCCCAAGAGCTTCTACCCTGGAGAGAACAAGGGAAAGCTCAATTGACATACTGTTTGGGATTCCCAGAGCCCCCTGAGACCATCTCCAGACCCCAATTCTGCAGCAGCGCTGCCCAGAAAGTAAGACCACCTCTGAGACTGGGTGCAGTCTGAAGCACCCCTATAGACCAGATCCATGATGATCCCCCTCCCATCAACATCAGTTCCAGCAGACCTGGCTCCAGGGACCACCTCAGGAGAACCATTTAAATTCCTGCACCTGGCATTGCCCTCCTGGTCAACTGAGTCTGCACAGGACAGAAGTCTCCCCCCAGTGAACCCTCTCCGGCCTGGACTACACCTGCGGGAGGCCAGGGCTGTTTATTGCTTTGGGGAAACCAATCAGGGACAGGGGTCAGGCACCAAGGAAAGCAGGCAGATCTTGAAGAAATCAAGTATGCTGACTCCACTTTCCCAGGTCAGGTCTGATAGGCCTGGGAATGGGGGGGGGCAGGGCAGGGGGCAGGGAGCGGGAAGGATCAAAGAAGCTGCTGGAAAGTAAGTCTGCCAGCAGAACAGGCTGTGCTATGTGTGTCTCACGGGGTGGCTGATTCGAAATCCAGAATCATGCAGTGATTCTGTGGTGACAAACTCAAGAATCATGCAGTGATTCTTTTTTTTTTAATATTTTGTTATTTTTATTTTACGTGTATGAGTGTATTGCCTGCATGTATGTGAGTGCACCCCTGTCGTGCAATGTTGTAGAGGTCAGAAGAGGACTTCGGATTCCCCTGGAACTGCAGTTAAGGACAGTTTGTAGCTGCCATGTGGGTGCTGTGAATCGAACCTGGGTCCTCTGCAAGAACAGTCAGTGCCCTTAACCGCTGAGCCATCTCTCCAGCCCCTCATGCAGTGATTCTGTGGGGACAAACTCAGCGTGCTGTGACTGGGAACAGCAGTTGGGGGATCAGGACATCAGCAATGGAAAACAGGAGAAGCAGAAAGGTTCACAGAACTGTCACTGCCCACTAGGGGATGTTTGGGTGGTTGGCAATTCAGGCCACCTCTACTGCTAACACTGGCCATGGGCAGGTGGGAGGGTGGAATCCTCTTAATTTCAAAGAACTGAGGGTCACAAAGCCCACCTCTCTGCTGGGAAGTTCTTCAGTCCATCTATCTTAAATTTGTTATGTAGGTACAGAGACCAACCTCCTCTAATCCAGGGTTCAGCCAACGTTTATCAGGAAGGGAGGAGTAATTATCTTGGGTCTTGTAGATCATACTGTTTTTGACACAGCTACCCAACTCTGCTGTAGCTCGAAGCATCTGTGGGCAAAGTGGAAAAGAATCAGCATGGCCAAACAGCAGTAAAGTTACAGAATCAGATGTTTTTTAATATTTTATTATTTTTATCCTATGTGTATGAATGTATTTCCTACATGTGTGTAAGTGCACCCGTGTCGTGCAGTGCCTGCTGAGGTCAAAAGACAGTGTCCAGATCCCTGGAACTGGAGTTACAGATGGTTGTTAGCCACCATATAGTTGCCTTCTGGGTGCTGGGAACTGAACCTGGGTCCTCTGCAAGAGCAGCCAGTGCTCTTAACTCCCAAGCCTTGTTTTGTTTTTTTGAGACAGGGTCTCCATAAGCCTAGGTTGGCCTGGAACTCACTGTGTAGACCGGGTTGGCCTTCTGCCTCAGTCTTCAGTGTGCTGAGATTTCAGGTATAAGCTACCATACCTACCTTTCCTCTTTTGATTTTCTAAAACCATTGAAAAGTGCTTTAAAAAACATGATTAGCTTGTAGCCAGGCATGGTGGCGCACCCCTTTAGTCCCAGCACTGGGGAGGCAGAGCCAAGCAGATCTCTGGCCTGCCTGGTCTACATAGCGAGCTCCAGGTCAGCTGGTACTACAGAGAAACCCTGTCTCAAAAAGACCAAAAAAAAAAAATTTAAAGAACAGTATATACTTAATTTCAGGGCTGTTTAAGAGCACTGATTGCTTTTGCAGAGGACCTGGGTTCAAATCCCTACATGTCAGCTAAAAACCATTCATAACTCCAGTTCCAGGGGATCTGGACACTGTCTTTTGACATTGGCGGGCATTGCATGACACAGGTGCACCTACATGCATGAAGGCAATATACTCATACATATAAAATAAAAATAATTTAAAAAATATGATTAGCTTGCAAACTAAATAAAACATCATGAATTCAGATTTAGCCAGTAGGCCAGAATTTTCCAGTGAATGCTCCAGCCTATTAGTTGTTGGTCTTGGCCGAACACTAGAATAATCTGGGGAACTTTCAAAGACCTGGACTCACATGCAAGAATTCTAGGCTCTTCCTTCCTTCCTCTTTCTCTTCCCTTCCTTTCTTTTCCTCTCCTCCCCCACCTTTTCCTCCTTTTCCTCCTCCTCCTCTTTTTCTTGGACAGGATCTCACATAGCCCAGGCTGACCTTGAACTTGACATGTAGCTGAGGATGACCTTGAACCCCGATGCTCCTGCCTCTAGTTTATGCGGTGCTGGGAATCTAACCCCGGGCTTCCTGCATGCTAGATGAGCAGTCTACCAGCTGAGTCACATCCCAGCCCAAGATTCTAATACAGATGATTTTTCTTTTTTTAGTACTAGGGCCTTGCACACACCAGGCAAGTGCTCTACTGTCAACGCACTGATTGGACTTCATTTCCAAAGTACCCCAGGGAGCTGTCACTGGCAGCCAGGGCTGAGAAGAGCTGTTTGTTCGCTCTAGCTCTGTCCTCCACCTGCAGCAACACACTGCTCATAAACAGCGTATTCCTCCTCTTGCGCCTTGATGATCCTTGGGTGCCTTGACCTTTTCACCTGTAAAATGTAAATGCTTGATTCCTGTAAGGTGTTCAGATCAGTGCCTGGCACGTGACACCCACCCTAGTGTTAGCTAATGAACTTGCAGTGGGCCTTCCACTATTCCACTGCCAACCACCACATACCCGGTGAAGCTTTCTGTTGCCAGGCAGGCTCCAAAGTTCCCTGCATGAAACAAAACGAGATGCTCTTCTTGGGAAAGAGAACTGGCATCTGCAGTCAGAGCAGTGGGACCACTCTGGACACTGTCCTGGAGAAGCACGATTCCCATGCTGCAGCAGATCTGGAGGAACAGGTGGCTGTGCAGGAACTGAAGCCTCATCAACATCCCACAGCTCCCTGCTGCCACCCCCACCCCCCCGGAATGCTTTTCTGGGCTTTGTCTGGTGACAATAAAAGGCTGGTCTCCATGCCAGTGGGAAAGGACTAAGGGTCAAACTTCAAAGGAAAATGGCAGCTTTGTCTGCCCTTTGCGGGGTCATGGAGCCACAGGCGTATTTCCAAGGCCTCACCCATTCTACACTTAAGCCCTCTCCAGGTCCCCTCTGCAGTCCCAGAGGCAGCAAAGGAACACTTACCTGGTAACCTTGCAGGGAGCTTGCTTAGAAACTAAGCAACCAGGAACCCTGGGACTGGGGAAAGTGAGGTCCCTAGACGCCAACCACTGAGGCCCCTCTTGGATTCATGGGGCTGGATGATACTGGTCCTTCACCACAGCCTTATGGTCACAGGCCATAGTGATTGTATGCATGCCAGGAAGGGGTGGCCAGGGTGAGCAGCCAGCCAGCAGGGTAAAAACTTTACATTGCAGGGAATGAGGATTCCAGATCCCAAGGAAGAAAGGTGATCTGGGACAGGTCTATGGCCAGGGTGCAGTCTTGCTCTGCCCAGCTTAACCTGGGAGCCCGTTAGAAGCACAGAGCTGTGGGCCCCACCACACACCTACTAAAACCAAGTCTCAGGGGTGACCCCAGGCGTCTGGCTTCTAACACGTTCTCCAGGTCGTTGTTGTGCACGTTGGGTGTCAGGGTCACAGGTCCAGGATGAAAGACAGATGCTACATGATGGAATATTTAGATGACTCAGAACACTTGCTTTCAGTGTGGGTTGGTGACTCTGAGATCCGATTTCTGGCTACTTACCGGCAATGACTAATCCCACATTCCGAGGGCTAGCATGGGCTCTGTTTGGTGGATACGAGATAAGGCTCCTGAGCATAGTGCCTCCATCGTTTGGGTTCTTGGACTTTCTGGAAATTTCCTGGGGGACTATAGCTCCTCAAAGTGTGGGAACATCAGGGAGGGGTGCCACGCCCTGGTAGTCCTTTGATGCCATATTGCATGTACTCTCTGAGCTGTAAATAAAGAGATGACGGTTGCTAAGCTGCTGCGTGTCCCTGTTCCTCCAGGAGATAGTCCATCTGGCTGGCAGGGAACATTGCCAGGGCCTTGGGAGGGGGCCACAAGCATTGTATTTCCCCTGTCTCCCTATTCATTGACTCCACACATTTGATTGATGTCTGCGCTGAGCTAGGCAGCAAGTAAGGTGAATGGGGTCTGTCCTCACCTGGACCTCACCGATCACTGCAGTCCTTTAGCCAGACCTCTGGGTGAGAATTTCATGCTTTTATCTCCATCTGCATTTCAGGGTAGGACAGCTGCGGTTCCCAAGGAGACTGGGAGGCTAGTCTCAGCAGGCTGGCCTCCAACAACTCCATTCTGGATCTAGGAGGCCAAGTGCAGAGAGAAGCGGCCACTTGCTTCAGGGCCAAGCAAAAGAACAAAGCACCGCTGGCCCTGGCTGGGTCTGGACAGGCTCAGATGCCATCTTGGGAAAGCATGTGAACAGCCTGCAGTGGCCTCGTTTGGCACCTGAGAGAACATCTCTTATCTGGGCACAGTTCCTGCCAGCACCATCTCACTGCTCATCAGCACCTATCAGGCCTGGCTGATCAGAGTGCTCATGGCTCCAATGGCACTATGCCCTGGTGTCTCAAAACCAAGGCTGGGGCCTGGTATCCCTGTAAGACCTCCATGCCCAACCTGGACAGAGAGCGGACAGGGACCAGCCTTCCCAAACACAGGGCTGCTTCTCCTCCTTCCTCTTCTTCCTGCTTCCTCCTCTTCCTTCCCTCCTTCCCCTCCCCCTCCTCTCCC